TCTGTTTCTGTGGGCAAGGCGATCTGGGGTGTTCGTTGAGCGCAGGTGAGATTGTTTCTTCTGCCCTATTGGTGAATGGGCGCTCGGTTTTTCATTGTTGTCTGTCGGCTGGATTAGCCAGTTGATACACCCCAACCCCAATACACCCCCCACAGCGCCCCCAAATCTCTCTAGATTAGCCAGTTCCTAATGACCCCCCACCCCCAATATCCCCCACATTCGCTCCCCAATCTCTCTAGAGAGATGCAACTAACCATCCAGTAACTCAGGCTCACAGACAGGGATAGCGGGTTGACCCCCCACCCCCAATATCCCCCACACTCGCTCCCCAATATCTCTAGAGAGATACAACTAACCATCCAGTAACTCAGGCTCACAGACAGGGATAGCGGGTTTATGCCAGGGCGTACCCAGGGTTTAGGGTCTAGGGTTTTGGCAGACTCAACCATGAATTGACGGTGCAGAAGTATCCAGAACCAGTTTTTTAGAATGTTCCTCCGCAGGTTACTTGCTAGAGACTAGTAGAGAGAGAAAAAGTTGGGAAAGCACACAGGGACTCAGAAGCACCAGAGGCATAGGATTTAGAGAAATCGGAGGAAAATCGGAGGAAGCATCTAGGGCCACAGATCACCAGGTCTACAAGCATATCAGAATGCAAGCAGCTGAGAGGTGCACAGCATCGGCCAGCCCAAAATGTAGGGCAGTATCACCCTAAGGGGAGGCAGTGGGGATACGAGGCAGGGAGCAACTACACAGTAGTAACCGGCTAACTTAGTTGTATTCGAATAGAAAGCACCCTATGGGTTAGCCTGTTACTACTGTGTAGTTGCCCCCATTATGGTTGGGGGACCCAAGCGGGTGAGAGAAGGTACATCCTTCCAGAATGGAAGTAATCAATGCCACCCACTCGCGTCCGCCGACCAGAATGGGGGGAGGCATCTTGAGTGTGTTATAATGTGTAATCATCTCTCGCTGGTGGAATAGGAACCGGACTGATGGGTGAGTTGTGCCGCCCTGTAACCTGTAGCAGTGTGGGAGCGCCGAGCCAAGTGGAAGTGGCGTCTCAGGTCCTGCTGTGGCCGGTCGGGACACACCCAATACAAATCCTAACAGAGCTCTCAGGTTGAGTTCTTAGTCAGTACTACCATAGCTGGCATTCATGGCTTAATTACGATGCCTATTAGGGTTGAGACCCTGAATTTCACGATACTTCCAGAGGCTTACAAACTCTCGACATACTTGTCACAACATCAGCTCAATAAGGAAGTTCAATAAGTCATGATCATGACATATAATCCACAATAATTTCCATAATAATCTCGAATTACCTGGGGGCCTGTGGATAGCTCAAGACTGGCCTTGTCCTTTCCCGCCATACACCGCTGGACCACGCCGTCACCACACGGACACAGGATGCCGGACCACGGACACTCCGCCCTGCGGCCGTGTATAATCGTATGAAAATGGCTGCTGGCAGGCCACAAGGAAACATCCTTGGGGGTCGTCCCCGAGGACGTGTGGAACGAGGCCGCAAAATTTCTTTGTACCTCGAGGAAGTTGTAAGGAGTGGCTAACGACACCCTACCTCTCTGTGCACGGTGCATCAGCGTGCATGAAGAGTTCTCTACCATGGTTACTATGTTACTGCATGGTAGACGAGGGTGCTGAGCCATCAATTTACAGCCCACAATTAGATATCCCAGGGAGTTACTCAGTTGTGCATGGCCCTGAGAATCAACGTTGAATTGGACGACCTCAGGCATTTCAGAGTTATTCGGAGTCATTATTACTTCATAATCCTGCCATGGCTTTCCCATACAGAAAGGAACTGATACTTGGTCCTGGCAATATTCTTGTTTTTCAACACGACAGGGGCTGGATGTCCCTTGGATGAATGCACCTGAGGGCGCGGCCAATGCAACTCATGCATGCAAGCACTTGAGCTACCCCAGCCATGCTCTGCCATTGCACTCTAGTTTCATGATGACATGGCATGATGAATTAACCACGTGTGTGTTGCCTTACCCTATCGATTTGCTATGTTACTGCCCTATGGTGGTTTAAGAGTGTAATATTCTCAAACCTCCAGGGCAAAGACCCACTTGCACGGATTCTTCATTTCTGGCCATTGGTCTTCGTAATTGACAGTCAGAAATGGAGAACACGGGTCTATGGTGGTTTAATAGTGTAATATTCTCAAACCTCCAGGGCAAAGACCCACTTGCACGGATTCTTCRTTTCTGGCCATTGGTCTTCGTAATTGACAGTCAGAAATGGAGAACACGGGTGAGTGGGACCTTGAACAAATGCCTGATGAGGTATGCATCTTGCAATAGCCTCTGCTTGAGGTAAGCTTGGCTTGTTACGTTAGGGGTAGGCCACACTTGACTACTATGCCACTAACTCGTGACTGGAAAAGAATGCACCTTCGTGATGACTGCACTAGACGGAGGCAAAGGGCCTGTATACATTCATGATTAGGCTGCATTATGTTCCGGGAAAGAGGGTAATCACAAGGGTCAGGCAAGGATGGTATGCAGTCTTCAGCAGTGGTAAGGACACGGAGCTGCGGCGGTAAAGACATTTGACTGTTATTACTAACAAGATGACCGCTTCGATTCCATTTACGGCACCTGTTCGGTTCCATGCATGATACTGGTTCCGATTCCATGCATCGGTGTGGGTGGACCAAATGGAATACATGAACTCAGCTGTGTGCACTGGACGACAGACAACTTGACCATGAAAATGTCAGATATGGTTAGCGATAGCACATTTTTAGTCCTCTATTGCTTCTGCAAGAAGCAAGATGCGTACGGAGTGTCAGGCAGGGTTGTCACCCGGGGATCCCCGGGGCCCGAGCCGGGGTGGGGGTTTGACCCCCGGGCCCCCGCCCCTGTCTCTTATACACATCTAGATGTGTATAAGAGACAGGGTAGTGACGATAGCCTTTCCAGACTCAAAGATTACCATGCTTTTGGGGGATGGGGTTCCCAAAGGATGGCAGCCCTACCAGCAACACATCTTCCAACTGCTGAGAGAATATGG